AATGGTAGAATTACTCTTCTAGTCCCGTACTTTGTTATGGCTGGTTTATATCATTTTTATTTAATTTTAAGGTTAAAAGACGCTTATCCCTTAGATTTAGTGTAAACTACATTTACTCTCTTATGATTTTAAAAATATTTATTTACCTAAGTCTCATGGAAATCCCATAAACCCCTATGAAATATATTGGCTTATATTACAAATAAATATCTAAAGTACATTATTTTTCATCTAAATACCTAAAAAAATATGTTTTGTCAAAATAAATATCTAAACTTATCTTTTTGGTCAAAATATGTAAAAGTATATTTGGTCAATGACAAGCATCAAATTTATTAAATAAATAAATACTCTAATCTCAAATAAATAATAAAAGTTGTATAGAAAAGTAGAACTCGATCTAAAGGACTAGGAAAGTAAATAATGCTCTTTTCTAATTAACTGCAAAAATAAAATAGAGTTTTAGAAAGAATTAAAGTAAATAAAATAAGAATAAGAGTAAATAAGATAAAAGAATTTGATTGAGATGATATTATCTTAGGCTTTGCTTAGTCTCAATTCCGATTGATCATTTAAACACATTTTCTCTTCTAGATACATGCCGATTAAGTCAATAAGACTCAACTCTTGTAGTTAATTTTTCTCTCATGTTAATTGATATTTTCAAGTCTATAGTTAACTTTTCTCTCAGGTTAATTGATATTTCCAAGTCTATCTCTAAAATCCAGTCATTGCTAGACTAGCCACATCTATTGCATTTAGTGTCAAGACAACTTTAAACTCTTGAAAAACTCGACTCGAGTTATAACACCTCACTAAGAACTGATTTCGATCTTGATTCCCCTTATCAGACCGTCGTTATGTTTGTTCACTAAAAGTCGAATTACTACTAACCGATCCGACTCCCAAACTATAAATCAAAACAAATTTCAAGCCAACGTGTACTTTTTAAAGTTAAGGAGTTGTGCCTTTTAAAGGAATGACCATTTGCCACTTCTAATTTCCAGAGAACCGAAGAATATATCCAAAGTTGTAAAGAGCACTGCTAAGCATGAATTAGATCATGCTTAGAATTTTGGGTGGAAAGTAAAAATGAATGATGAAAAGAAAAATACTACTATTGACAATAACCAAGGAAATACAAAATCCAATTTGAGTTCAATGCTTGAACATAAAGGTATCTATAACCTGAGAGTTTTAAGAAGAATAAATAACCAAAGGATAAAAATAAAAATAAAATCTTAGATTTAAATTTAAAGGTTTATCATAAATGAAAAAAATAAAATATTTAAAACTTGTGGCTTAGTATGAATTATGTTTTATCTTTTGAATAACCTCCAATTATCTCCTAAGAATTTCGAGTTTGTCTTTAAGATAATGCAGGACTACCTTCTAGTAGATGTTGACTGGATTGCCTAGATTTGTAACACCCTCAACCCGTACTCGACCCGGATACGAGTCTGAGGTGTCACATTGACTTTTCAAAACCTTTACTTTTACTAACGAATAAAGAATTTCAACTTATTTTTAAAACAAATGGTTTACTACACATATCAGAGAATATCCAACTCAATTCTATTAGTACATGCCAACTATATTCGAAAGAACAAAATACATATTAATTATTACTTTTTTTATCTAAATTTCGTAAGGGAGATACTGATTTGTCTTGCTCCTCTTAGCTTCAAATTCCACTAATTAACTCTTTTCCAAAATTTCATTTAAAAACTCCTAATATTTAATCTCTTCTAACTCTTTTATTCTTTGATTTTAATATGACTTAAGCTTTCCTTAAGCTTAAGTATTATCCAAGGATCATAAAACAACCTTAAATTCAACAAATAAACAACTAACAATGAACTCACCTTTTGCTTTGGCTTCACGTATGAAGGAAGAAGAAGAAGAAAACTCTGGAACTCTTCTTTTTTTTCTCTTCTACTCATCCCACTTGGGGATAATATAATCCCTCTAAAAAAATCTTACTATCAAATGACCATTTTGTCCTTCCACTCTTCCTTCTTTGTTATTAAATCCTATATAAAATTTACAATATAAGTCCCCGAATTTTTTAATTTAGTCACTAACCCGATATTGAGGATATTACAAGATTTTTCATGTCGAAAATCGTCATACCCCAGGCCATTTCATGCCTTCTACCACGAGTCCCAGAAAAATTCAAATGTTGGTTTTTATGCCGAATAATCCAAATGAAGTTTCTACACGAAAATAAGTCAAAATAGAACCAAATCAATAATATCCGAATAAAAATGAGGAGTAAAAGATAGTAAAAATGTGCAATTTTCAACACTTATCAGTCAAAATATGTACTTAATATTTTTGATATTTTCCATCTAAGTTATAAATATTGGCATGTGACATTATTTAAAGGATAGGGTAAACTACACATTTAATATCTAAACTATCAATTTCAGTCCGTTTTAGTACCTAAATTTTAATATTTTTTTAAAATCCTACCTCACGTTTAGTTTTTGTTTCATTTTAGTACCCCACCGTTAAAAACTTAGCGGACGGGCTCACCGGCCGATGAAACCCAAACTTTCCAATCAATACCTTTTTGACCCCCTAAATATGATTCTGACCTCAGTTTCACCTAGAAACGCCTCAATCTCCCCAAATCGGCGATAGACTCTTTGATTTTTTTCATCCTCCAATCTCCATGATCCACCGTTCGATGGCTTTAAACTTGACTATGTTGGTTAACTCATCATTCTCTCATGGTCTATCATTCAGATTGGTCGTCCGTCCACCAGAGCTATGCCCATCAGTCCATCCGTTAAGTTTTTAATGGTTAGGTACTAAAATGAAACAAAAACTAAACTTTAGGTATGGTTTTGAAAAAAAAATTAAAGTTTAGGCACTAAAGCGGACCAAAACTAATAGTTTAAGTATTAAACGCGTAGTTTACCCTAAAGAATAATTTAATTACTAAAATCATAATAATTGAATATATTTTAATTAAAAAGATAATTTTAAGTACTTTGAGCAAAAAGATAACTTTATGTACTTTGACCAAAAAAATATTTTAGAGACTAATATAATATGCTTTAATACTTATTTATGATATAAGCTAAATATATTTACCAAGTAAACTTTTAAATGAAAGAAAATTATGGCTCTGTGTTAACGTGCATTTTCTAATTATATTGTTCATTTTCCTTTGTTTTAACACAAAATAAAAAAGAGCTAATTGCCCCATACATCCTTAAATTATTACCTTTATCCTAAATTGGTCCCTAAACCTTTAAACACTCTAATTTCATCCCCAAATTATGATTTATGTTTTAAATTGATACCAAAATTTTGAAGATTCCGAAGTCATTCCCAAACAATGACTCTTATTCTAAATTGATCCCTAAACTTTCTAACATTTCAATAATGTTCCCCTAAATCATTCAAAATTGTGGGGATGGAATTAAAATATTCAAAAGTTAGGGGACCAATATAGAATGAGAGTCATAGTTTGAATATGAATTTGGAATGCTCAAAAGTTTGGGACCAATTTAAAATGAGATTCATAATCTAAAGATGAAATTAGAATATTAAAAAGTTTGAGAATTAATTTAGAATAAGGACCATAGTTTAGGGATGTTTAGTGTAATTAATTCAACAAAAAATAATTACTTTAAATATTGAATTACTATAATTAATTAATTATATTATTATTAGATATACCATTGAGATGGTCTTGTAAGTTAATCTGACGTCAACTTAGAAGATAATTCAAAAGACCGTAATTTTAACGTATAATAAATATTATGATAAAAACAATTTTACTTTTCGTACTTTTAAATAATTTTTAAATAAAATTTTAAAAATATTAATTGAAATTCAAGAACAAAACTAATAGGTTTATATATAAACCCTCTCAATTCTCATATGATCATTTGTTAATTTGATTATTTATTATTTTGAAATTTTATTCAATTTATCTAATTTGAATTTTTAAAATTAATAATAAAATTAATTTAACCACTTATATCAATTAAATTAATCGAGTTTTTCAAAGATTTCAATTAAATCATTTCAATTAAATAATCTTCTATATGCAAACTTTTCACTTTAAACTAAAAGCTTTAAATTAAAGCTTAAGATATAATTTTGAAAATTCTAAATTATTTAAATGGACGAGATAAGATTTTTTTTATTAAGCTAATGTATTATAAAGTAATATATGTTTTAAATATTGTTCACTATTTGATAATAAATGTTCAATCACCCTTGTAGTTTAAAAAATTTAAATCTTTATACGTTTACAGTTTAAGAAATATTATATACATTTTTTTAACTTTTTAAATGTAGAAAATGTCATCTATCTCGTATTTTTCTATTAAGAAAAACACGGTAAATTATTGTATAAACTACATATGTGATCTCAATAGTAAATGAATTGTTGATATTTATTTAAGATCCTGGGTTAAAGCACCGACAATGGTAAGGGTACAAGCAATCGATGTTGAATGGTTGAGAGTTATCTTGGAACAGAATCAAACGTAACGTTGGGTATGATTTTAAAACAAAAAATAACTAAATCGAAACCGTAAAAATAGTTAAGTGACTAAATATATAGTTTACCCTAAATTACTTGTTAAAATTAATTAAAAAAATTATTTCATACTTAAAAATTAAAAGTAAGATAATAAATAATTAAATAGTTGAGAAATTATCTTTAGCTTACTAAAAAGAATTAAATTTTCATCAAAATCAACTAAGCAGATAATTTATACCTCAAAGTGAAATTATCATAAATTAATACTAATTTTTTATATAAATATTTCTCTTATTAAATTACACGTAGAAGACACGTCCCCCATTTCTCTCCCCCATAAGCATTTCAGTTAAGCTTTGAGCCGTCACTTTCTATTCTTAGGGTTCTTTTCACCACCATTTTCTCCCTTTTTTTTCGTGTAATCGCCGATTAATCTGCGCTGATTTCACTGCATTTATCCAGCAAACACCACATTATTAAATCTCAGCCCTCCATGCAACATCCCACAGCGATCAACGGCACCCAAGCTTGTGCTGTTTGCAAATATCAACGTAGGAAATGCACCAAGAACTGTCTTCTTGCACCCTTCTTCCCTGCGAATCGTCATAAAGATTTCCTCAACACGCGCAAGCTTTTTGGGGTTCGAAATATCATCAAGATCATCGAGAATCTTACCTTTCAGCAGCGAGTTATTGCTGTGAAGACCATCATCTACCAATCTAATATGAGAGTCTTTGATCCGGTTGGCGGTTGTTATAAGTACATACTCGATTTGCACAAGCAGATCTATCGGTACCAGGCTGAACTTAATCTCGTAAACCAACAGCTCGCCATTTGTAAAGCGCAGTTGATGTTTACTCAACCGCAACCGGCGCAGAAACAGAAACAAGTGGCGGTGGGAAACTATGGAGATGGTCAGAACTCGGAAGGTTTTAATATATTTGATACGGTTCGTGTCGATGATCAATATTCTCGATATTTAAACGGTGGTGAGTCGTCGTCTTTGATGTGTGCTTACGATGTGTTTGATTCTAATCCTGTTAAAGTCGAAGTGGAGGGGGCTTCAAATGGAATTCCACCATGTAAACAACAAGTTCCATCAGATGTGGGTACAGAAATGAAGCCATTGTCTACTGATATACGAGACGAAGCATTTTGTTTCGATTTAGATGGTAATGTTTTTCAGGATGTCGGTGAAGATATCAAGCCATTGCTTTCATTCCTATACGATAAGAGAGATGAAATATGTTGCCTCGACTCAGGTGGATCTAATTCTCAAACCAGGTTGGTTTTTTAGTAGTTCATTGTTATTTTATTGTAGAATTACAATATCGTTTTGATTTAATCATGATTCCGTCTCTAACTATGATCACTTATACTCCATTCTTAATACGAAATCATGATTAGTGGTCATAGTTATAGAGGAATAAATATTGGATCCGTCACCGGTCATATGAATTTAACATGTATTCAATAAGTCAATTAATATTTTTACAGCTATAGTTATAACTTGTAATAGATTTTTTTTCCAGTTTTTCTTATGTGCTAATAATGGAAAAAATGGTGCAATCTTATTAGTAAATAGGCACTAGTCAAGGGCTAGTTGCATATGCTTTTAATAAGGTAATTAATTTAGTATTCGAGAAATTATTTTGTGATTCTATCTGATAATTATAATTTCTATTGGTTAAGAACATGACTGACATGATAAAAAAAGGTTTATGAAATAATTTTTCGAACAAAACCATTCGGATTTCGTCAAAGTTTATTTGGCACAATTGATAACTCATTAGCATTGTTTTATTTCAGTGATCAACTTGTGCTGAAGGAAAGGACTGCTGAGTCAACTCAACATCAGCTGAAGCATGATCTAAATGGTGCTGCTTCCCTGTTTAATTTTACAAATGGCAAAGGAACAGATAAATGTGCATGATTTTGAAATTCTACATATTCTAACGCTGTTTAGGTCACTTTACAGTCTTGATTTTTAGTATCCTGTGATGTAAAAGCAGATTGTGCATGTAGGGCAAATGGTTTCCATAGGGTTGAGTTTCACTACTTGTTTTACTTGATACAGAATTCTTCGTATTTGCATGTTGACAACATAAGAAAAACATGATAGTCAAAATGTTTGGTTTCTTTTTTTTTTTTTTAATAATTCTCGGATTCGGGTTAGATTTATACGTGTCGTTGACATTTTATATTTGTCTAAGTTTGATTAAACCTAAAATGAGTTTTAAATCGTGTTGAAATTCACTTGTATTTGTAAATGATGAGTTTAAACATGTTTTAGATCCACCCAAATTTTGTAAATGATTAATTTGAATTTATGTTGCCCAAACTTGGTGCAGTGGCGATGAGATATACAAAATAATAATAATTTTAAAATGACATCGTTTTAGATATTAAATTTTTAAGTATTGCATTTTTTAAATGATTAATAACTGTAAACTGTCACCCGTCACTAATTATCATTTGTAATTAAATTAATATGAAAATATTAATATTTTACTTATTTTTCTTTTCTTTGGATTGAAAACAATGATGAAATAAACATTAAATTTGATTTTTGACATCATTTTTCAATTTATTATTATTTATATTATTTTACTATAAAAGGATGATTTAACTTTCTCTCAGTTTTTCATCATAAGTCCAGATAAAAAAAATTCAACAGACTCAGTTGGCCCAATGCTCAAATAAACAAACATGATGGGCAATGAGCCCAATATCAGAGTCATCTAAGTCAATCCCATGGACCATTAATTTTGATATTTGATACTAAAAATTCGATTTCATCACACTCATTAATCTTAATTCATTTCTTAGATTCGGACGAAATTAAGTGTTTATTTAATCTAACAGTCCAAGGCAAGTACAATTAACATAATCTTGAGGTGAATGATCTGAAACTCCAGGAACCATCAGTCCCATAATCCTGGAAGCACATAACAACCATCCTTCTCTGTAGTAAGGTCCCTTCCAAAAATGTATGATGAAGCATCGTACCAGCTCAATGAAGGCACTTATCAGCATTTTCTTTGTGTATTTTATCAAAAAATAGTTCTTATTTGGTAGGGTCTCCGCCTTATGGACACCATAGAAGCTGTCGTACTAGTAACAGGCGCCCAAGTGCTTGTACCAATGGTTTTTATCGTCGTAAGGCAGCCTCGGGACCATATATATAGAGAGGGATATATACAATAATAATAATAAATATGATAGGAACTCTAATAATTGGCATACATATATATATAGAGGGAGAGAGAGAGGGAGTTAAAATTCACCTACATAATATAAATTTCTTTTAGTTTTACAAATAGGTTTAGTATCGTTAGTTGAGTAAAAATATATGAATATAGTTTAGAATGAGATCATTTTATATTAAGATCATTTGAATTTATCAATTGATTTTTTAATCAAATCATTTTAGTAATTTAAAATATTATTTTGCATCATTTAGATTGAACAAATCCTAATTTAAAATGTTATTTTATTAATTTCTAACTTACTCCAATTAAATAAATAACCTATTTTAGGTACCCCTAGTGCCCAAAAACTAATCAATTAATAGTACAAGGTTGAAAAATACTTCCTTAGGCCTAAAGATTTTAGCCCAAAACCAACAACTTGCTCATTTTGTTCAATAAATTGAACATCAAAATGAAAGGGACTTGTTCAAGTAATTTTATTTTCCTCTTTTGGTTTTGTATGTTTCCAATTATATAAATTTTAGACTTTTTCAAGTACCCACACTCAAATATCATATTATATAAATTTCTATTAACTTTTTAACTATCATTTTTTTATAAAATATTTATAATTTATCTTTAAAATACCGTTTATATAACTTTTTCTCTCTCTTTCACTTAAATGAGTATATCATTATCTAACTACTAATAAAAGTCAAAAAGTTGTATCAACATGTAAAGGATTAAAATTATAACATAGTTAAATAAGAAAATATAGTAATTAAGTATTAATTCGATTAACATATCTTAGAAATATGAATTCAAATAAATTTAAACATAATTATTTTTTATCTATAAAGTTAGAGATTATGAATTATTTGAGTATTATATAAAGTAAAAAGAATAAATATAGAGTCTATAATTGTACATGATGTCCTTAAAATATGAGCCCATTTTAAACTGCTATATAATTTTTAAAACATTTTATATCAGTCCCTAAATTGTAACCCGTATAACAAATTTATCTCTAAATTCTAAAATATTTTATACTAGCCCTCAAGCTATTAATATCATTTTGTTTTGATCCTTTCATTAACGTAATCACTAACTCTATTAGTCAAAAAACGAAGGTCATATTTGATCCCTAAATTTGATCCTTTCTTTATTTGTTCGTTAACGACACATTAACAAGATGTTCAAAATGGAATGACATTAATAGTTTGAGGACCAAAATAAAATATTTTAAAAGTTTGGTGAGCAATTTATGATGTGATCATAGCTTGGGGACTAATATAGAATATTATTACAAAAAAAAGAATATAATAAGATTTTTTAACGTTTATAATAAATTTGAATCGAACATTGTTAATAAAACAACTTCCCAACTTCTTTGATCTAAAAAAAGTATTTTGTTTCCCAGATGATTTCGGAATAGAACATGAACTTGCAACAAGGACCTAAGATACACCATAAGACGTGTCTTGACCGTAGATTTCGGTAATATATAGATTTGAAAACACAACGCTAAGAATCTATGAGTCATAGTGATCCAAGATAAGTACAAATAAAATATATAAACTATATAAAATTTTAAATTTTTCAAGGATCACGAATGCACATTTTACACTCACTCGATCTATCCCTAAATGATATATTTGAAAAAATCTACGAGTCTATAAGATCTTCGGGCGACCCAAGGCAAGTAATGTTAACATAACCTTGAGGTGAATGATCTGAAACTCCGGGGATCACCAATCCGATAACTCTAGTACTACGTGACAACCACCCTTCTTTGTAATATGACCCCTTCGTATATTGTATTGTGAAGCTTCTTATCAACTCAAAGATGGCGCTCATGATCATGTTCATTGACATCATGACACTTTCCACCAGCACATACAAGGCACTCACCATCGTGACACCGGCGAACACCAACGAGAAATAGTTCTTGTTCGGTAATACCGACACAACCTTCCCTTGATAATGACAGTCATAGTAGAGACACTTGCCAAAGTGCTTGTACCAATGATCTTTTTCGTCGTAAGGCAGCCTTGGAACCATGTCGAAATCGTAAACGAATCTCAAATATCGAATATTTTGCTCTTTCAACTTGCATTCCATGAACTCGGCAAACTTTCCGTCGCCGACCCTCGGCTGACCGTACGTGTAAACCCCATCCAATCTTTGCACCAGCGAGCTCTCGTCGTGGTAAAGCAAGACTGTAGGGAATAGAATCGCTAACGCACCACCCAAACTATGGCCGGTCACTAAGAACTTCGTTTTCTCATTTTCGTTCAATAGTTGTTTTAACTTGTCTCTTACGAAATAGTAAGCCGTGGGTTGTTTGTATTCCACCGGCCAGTTGAAGAAACTAGGGTCATCTTGGTAGTCCTTGGGCAACCCTAGGGCTCTCATGAAACCTTCATGGACGCTTCCCATGTAGTCGAGCTGTTTCTGTGAGAGATCCCAGTCTGTGCACCAGTCATCTGCACTAAATGGCTTCGTTCCCCTAAAAGCAACAACAATGGTGTCGTGATCGTCACCTTTAACGCGAAGGAAATAGACTCCGGTCGTGGCTTTGTTTTGGTAATCTGCAAAACAGAAGAAAACCAAATCATTAGTTCATTCCATATCTTGTTTTAAGGTTAATGAAGATTGATCTGTGAGTTACCATTCCAACAATTGTGAAATTCCAAGAACTCAACCATCTGCAGGAAGATTGAAAAATAAGTAACCATATTCATTAGGGTGAGCAAAACTTGATTCGATTCGAAAAATCGAAAATACTTCGACGTACCTCCCAATCCTTGACAATACTTTCAATGTAGGCTTTGTTCTCATATGCTGCTTTGGAAGCCATCATACATAATGCTGAAAAATACCTTAAACCGTCTCCATTTTTGATGTCACTGTCCCACTTCTTTCTGTCATCTAAATGTCCAATGAAGGAGACATAATCTGCTGAATCTCTATGCGGTATCAATGTCCCTGCACCAAAGGAAGTCATTTTACTACTCCCTACGTATGTATGTATGTATGTGTATGTATGTATGTATACCATTAAAGAGATGTTTGATGAAAGCACAAAGGGTGGGGTTGTAGGAGAGAAAGTTGAGCCACGTCTCGGTCACCAACCCCACCAATGCCAATGGCGTGGAGAAGAACATGAGCAACTTCTGCATTGCAGTGGAGATGAAAATCAACCATCTGTACTTGAATTCTACTCCCGTTTCATCCGAACTATCCACAAAATCTCTTCTCCTTAAGTCACTGTGTCCCAAGAGACGAGACAGATCCCTTAAACCTGCTTTTCTAGGTGTTATTTTCAGAAAAGTAGGAGAGATCCTGACTTTTCGTTGCCCATTCATTGTTATTGCCAATGAAGAAGATAGAACAAGAAAACGACGACAATCCCAATTGCTTTGGACCCTTTATATAGAAGGAAAAATGACACTAATTTTTGTTATTTCGGTCTATAAATGGTGATCGACTATAAGAAATTATTTTATTAAATTCTCAAATTATTAAAAGTTTTAAAACAATAATCGACTACTATAATAAAATAATAATCAACATTATTAATCATTTGTTTAATTAATAGATTAAAAAACACTACTTTCTATGTCATAAAACTAAGACAAGAATAATTATTAATGAAAGCCATCAAGCATGTGATGTGAAGATAGTTGAATATAGTATGCATTTACTCCTTTCTATGCCTAAGACGTGCTCACTAAAACAAGAAAGAAAATATATATACAAGTTGGGTTGGTGGGAACTCGAAAATCTATACGCCACGTTCACATTTGGAATCTCCAGAATACCTCAATAAATGAGTGTTTTGTATTTATAAATAATTGTTTAAATTTTTTTAACTATTAATAATATGTACATATAGACACGCTATTAACAACCCATACAAGACATTAATAGTTTAATACAGTTGTTTGAATGTAAAACTTTTAAGAAGAAACATTATTTTTTTTCTCACCATTAAAATCGCTCTATAAATTTAGGATGATTGACACTATAATATTGGCAGGTTGACTTCAATCTTCTTTCCTAGCTTCATTTGTTAACTATAAGGGTGCGTTTGGATGGGGATTGTGGTATTACCGGGCGAACATTTTTTTCGAATGTGATTCCTCCGTTTGGATTGTAAAGATTCTCAACCTCGGTAATAAGCCATTTCCAACAGTGACACTTTGGGGGCTTATTATCGAGAATGTGATACCCCCAATCCCATAGGTATTGTTACATTCCAGGCGTTTTGGACTAAAATGCCCTTAAAAGAATTTTTTTTCTCAAAAATATCATTATTCTGTTGTTGAATAAAAAAAATTCTACGAAAGTTAATGTAACACCCCCAACCCATACCCGACCCGGATATGAGTCAGAGATACTACATTGACTTTAAAACACAACTCTTAATAAATAATAGTAAAATATTGGGACTTGTATTAAGAAAATACAATAATATACATACTGTAATATAAGTTTACAAAAATATTCAGAGCATACACAACTTAACTCTTTAATTACATGCCAACTGCTATTTACATAACAAAATGACCTACTGATTAAGTTGCTTCTGATCTGATGGTTGCAGGAGTAATACTGTCAAGCTGCTTCACCTGTCTCTTCTATTTTCCTCGGATCCTACGTGTGAAACACTCACACGCTAAGTCATCGACTTAGTGAGGCAATAATAATACAAGGCAATGTATTGAAATGAAAATGTCAGGATCATATGAGATGAGATGCAAACATGTAACTAATCAATGTAGTATACTTTATCAATATCCATACCTGTAAGCGTATGACTGTAACATTCATTATTCAGTATTAATAAGTTTATTGGCCCATGATAGCATATTGAGAACCTAAGGTATTTGAGTAATGTGAGTTTGTGCACTATGCTGTCACCACAGCTCGTATAAATGCACCGAAGTGCCCGTAGAATTGTACCGAAGTGCCCGTAGAATTGCACCGAAGTGCCCGTAGAATTATGTCCATAAGGACCACGTAGAATTCTTTAAGAATCATATACATATACTATGGATCAAGTATGTGTCTTTCAAGACTTCACACAGGTTCCAAAGGATATACATATGTCCTAAAGAACCGAGTATACCCTCTACCCTTGGCATGCCAACTATACCTATAGTTCTCATCTACATAACATGGGCTTATACATTTCCCGTAGTTCATATCGCGTAGACATAGTATTTCCATACCTTTAACACATAGGCATATCATTTACATACCTTTATCACATAGTGCATAGAACTTTTCTGCATATTCATGTCATGTAATACATTTAATACAAATTCATGTCATGTATCATAATATGGAATGTAATCATATGTCAAAGTATGGAATCTAGACTTATCACAAGTCTAGAACTGAATATACTACTATATTCATGCTATGCATATGCACTCACCTATACTTCTTTGCCTTTTCCTCGATCGATTCTACTTGTAGATTGTTCCCGAACTCGAGTAGGCTCGGTATCTACATAAACATAATTTTTAAGATGATCATCAGATGTCTATGTCTTGAAATTAAGCTTTAATAGCTTACTAATTTAAAGAATCTATAGCTTAGTCTTGCTTTCTTTTCTTTCTTCTTCTTTTTCTCATGGGGGAATCGGTTCCCCCCCCTATGGGTATCGATTCCCCTCAAGCAATCTGGAATTTCATATACGATGAGGGGGTATCGGTTCCCCCCCTGGGGGTACCGATTCCCCTCTAGCATTCTGGAAATCATATTCGTTGAAGGGGTATCGGTTCCCCTTGAATGGGTACCGATTCCCCTAACCCAGAAATCCTATTTTAAGCCCGGAAATCATCTAATTTCAGCTCAAACATACTTATTTCAATCCCTTTAACACTCTTAGCTATCATACACTTACTTAAACTAATTATTAACCATTCAATACCTCTAAAACTAAGAAAACTCCTCATCCATATAGAATTGAAGAATCTTACTCCAATTTCAACTTGATCTAATTTCCATTCTATTACTTCATACTTCTTAATTAGCTTACTGACAAGTCAAAAATCTGATTCAAACATCAAAAACTCATTCCTATCAAGATTTCATCTAAAAACTCATTTTCCAAATCATTCTCTAAATCACTTATCTTGTTGTTTTAATGTCATATAAGGTTTCCTTTATCTTATATAACATACCAACTTTCATTTCCAATCTTAAAACATCAAAGAACCTACCAAGTTCAGATTCTTACCTTAATTGCAAGCCACACGCTGAGAGAAGGAAGAGAAGAAAATAAGGAAGAAGGAAGAAGAAATGGGAGGGTTCTGGAACCTAATATTACACGTGGGTCTCATATACCCCATAACATTTTTATTTTAATTAAAATTTCCTTCCAAATGACCATTTGGTCCCTACCTTCATTTCATATTTACTAACCTTTATTTTTAAACTATATAATTGTTCTACTTTAATCATCAAATGTTGTAACTTTGCAATTTAATCACTAACCCGGCATGGAGGATGTTACAGTTAAATTACAAATTTATCCTTAAACTATTTTAGATTTACAAAAAAATCCATAATTAGAATTTTATATGAAGTTCAGGGGTTAAAAAAATTAAACCTTTCATTAAACCTATTTATCTTTTAAATTTTGTAAAAAAATTATATGAATTTATGAATTTAAATTTTTTAAAGAAAATATATAAATTAAAAATAATAAAATTATATATTTCCTATGATCTTTTATACAAATATTTTCATTTGAATATTTAGAATTCAACTTGTTAAAAAACCGTATATAATAAGGAAATTTGGTAAAATATACATTCTAATAATCTTTTATTCCTTTAACCAGACAATGTAATCTTACATTCCTGCTAAACGAACCAAACACAACAATGCAACATTCCCAGTAATGTGTTAGATAATGCTACATTCCATGAACCAAACACACCTTAATGGTTATCTTTTATGGATATGATATAACATTTTATGAGTTTTTAATTTTTCAAGAATTACAATTTCACCCATCTTAGGGATCAGTCATGTAATTTTGGATAACAAATACTTTATATTAATAATTTGGATAAGGAATAATACATTTAAGTTTGGATTTGATTTAAAAGAATAAGTTATCAATAGAGATTAGTTCGGTTGATATTATTACTATTGCAGCACATAAAATAAAATAAAATAAATATCATTTCTGCACATATTATTAGAAATTAGAAGCCATACAATTTTGAGATTAGACGTGTTCAATAGTTTTTCTTTTTAATAAATATGAGATGAACTCATATAATTGTATATGCAATACTTGAATTCGAAACATAAAAAGATTATAATGTATTTTTTTAATTATTAAGATCATTTGATTCATCCGATATGTATTCAATAGTTAGATTAAAAAATATATGTCAATATTATCAATTTATTTTCTTTTAATTTAGGTTAGAAAGGAGATCTTAATTTTATTATGATTGATTTTAGTCAATAATTTTTGGTTACCTCTCTTAATAATTAGTTTTTTTTTGTGATGCATATTATTTTAGTAAATATTTTAAATTAAATAACACTAAAAAATTTATATATATTTAAAATAAAATAAAAATAAATTTAATTTAAAATTTTAAATAAATAGAATGTGTAAGTATCAATGAAAAAATGTATAATTAATTATACATATTTTTTTAACTATCACATCACCTTCTTCATTAAATATTAATGATTAATAGTTTGATTAGCATCACTTAAATAACTAACTAATTTGATTAATAAAATTAATAAAAATTATAATAAAATAGTTACGAAAGTAATTTACCTAATTATATAATAATGAAAGCCAAATATTGGCTGTATCGACATGTGATGCGAAGATAACTTAAGCAGAGCATACATTTACTATTTTCTATGCCTAAAACGTGTTCACTAAAAAAAATAGAGAAAGGCCCTCGAGAAAAGGAAAATTATAAATAAAGTACAAAATTCGGAATCTCGAGAAGATCTTAGTTTCTGTCAACTTTATCAAAATCTCAATTTATGTGTATATTATGCCGGGGAATGTCTCAGGAAAGGCGGGTTAATATACGGCTAATATACAGCATTATCGGATACATTAAAATGTATTTAATAAATTCGGTTTAGCGGTACCTATTATGTTGACAACTAATAATGTTTTAGGTAGAAAAAATGAAAAACTATTAAAAAATTTGGTAACCGGTAAACTTTGGTTATCGGTAAGTATCTATCCTTTTTATAAAAGTGTCCATACGTTTAACATATCAAGTAAATTTTACCGGTTTTGTCATAATGAATCTGGTTTTGTCATATTTTTACTTGTTATATTGTAAATTATCTATCCTTT